AAGTAAAGCAGGAAGAAAAGCTTTTATGTTCTCAATGATTTTATGTTACCTGCAGTTTGAGCATGCTGGTATGCGGGCTGATCAGAAGTAAAAAAAAATTAGAGACGGACGGACAGAATTCCCAATGAGTCAGTTGCTTGATTGGTCATGTACGAAACATACATCTGTTCTGATGTGTTTTTAAATTATTTGACTCCACTTCTATTATTGCTCTTTTTAGTGCTTCTAGCCTAATCCCCATAATTGGAGTATAAAATCTAGTGAAGATGTTTGGTAATTAATTTGCATTTTAATTGAAGGGATTTCTAGCTGTATCAATGTGCTAGTATTCTGTAATGTTTTGAAATATGCAAAATTACATCTGTTTTCAAAATGTATGGCTCTAGACTCTGGCCCCTTTTTACAGGTCTCATGCCAACTCAACTGGAGAAAAAGTTAAAAAACACTGTATGTTTCCAATGCCAACAACATAGAAAAGTACTGAACATTGTTTTTTTTTGCTAGAAATACAAAAATCTTTGACTCATTAGCTGTGAATTTTTTTTTTTATCTGTTGACTGTTATTTGCTTATTTTTTCAGGTGTCTACAGGACAAAGTAACAGGGCAATTTTTTTCAGATGTTATTACTAACAGAAAAGAAAAAGTTCGTCTCCAGATGTCTGAAGATTGCTTATACCTGAATATATATACACCTGTTCCTACAAAAAAACAGGAGAAGCTGCCGGTAAGCAAAATCATTACAAAACCCCGAGCAGTCTTCATGGCTTCTGTGATTTGATGTGACAGATTGAGCCTCACCTTGAATCTTCAAACAGCTTTCTGAGGATTACAGTACTTGTACTGCAAACTTGCAACCTGCACAGTATGTGGACTTATTGGCACAGTTTTTAACGATTGACAAATAAAATCGTACTGATTTTTTACATAGGCAGTGCTTGATTTCCTGCAGAGGCACTGGTAAAATTCAAGTATTTAATGAAATCAGTGCCTGTTGTGAGGCTGCCAGCCTCCAATTTCAAAGACATTGACCATTTGTGAAATGTAATCTGAAGGACTCAAGAGTGAAGTAGTAGGAACAAGGATATTGAGTCTGTATCCGAAGGAGCTCTTCCCTGTGCTGAACTGTTTCTGTTTTTTCCCCTTCCAGGTCTTTGTATGGATCCATGGAGGTGGATTAGTTTTTGGTGCAGCATCATCCTATGATGGCTCAGCATTAGCAACCTTTGACAACGTGGTTGTTGTGGCAATTCAGTACAGATTGGGTATAGTTGGATACTTTAGGTAAGATATGCTGTCTTTGATTTTGATAAAAAAATTTCAAAAATGCTGTGTGCAAATCCTTTGTGCAAAGGCCTGTAGAGGCCCACTTTTGCAAATAAACTCTCTATTTCTTAACTGCACATGCAACAGTTGGGAGCGACATGCAAGTTCCAGATCTGCTTCAGAGACTGTTCTGGCCTGATTGCTGGCCCGATCTGAACCCTTTCAAGCCAATTCATTTTAAATTACGTAGAGAGGCTCCTTCACAGCTGATTCCTTATCCTGCGCATTGTATTTATCTCAGTGTTGATTTTTTCTCCATCAAGCATTTAATGAAGTCTGTTCTTTCTTTCTAGCACTGGTGATAGGCATGCTCGTGGTAACTGGGGGTATTTGGACCAAGTGGCAGCTCTTCAGTGGATTCAGGAAAATATCATACACTTTGGAGGAGACCCGGGATCTGTCACCATCTGTGGAGAATCTGCAGGGGGAATCAGTGTATCTGCTCTGGTAAGTTCATCACAGGCATGAATGTTTATTATTTGGGAAAAAAACCCACTGTCCATGGTCACTCCTAGTACGTTAATGAAAAATGTGTGAGAAAAAATGTGTAGCTTTTGGGTAAACCAGTCATCACCTCAGTCTGATATACAACGTGATAACAGTGCAGCTTCTGACTGTTGAAAGTGGTTTTTTACCCAAATCACGTTGTTTAGACCCAGAAAGTCATTTGTCATCTTCAAATTTGATTTCTGGGTTTTCGGCTATTACAAAATCTATCCTTTTACGAAAAGACATGTGATAGACTGCCCTTATGTCATTTTCCTTTATGCATCAACTGTCACTTCTGTAAAGAAATACATGTGTGTAGTCTTGACATAGGAACTAGTCATGCATTTCATGACTGTGTTGATGCAAAATTTTTTCTTCAACATTGTGCACATTGATTGAGAGGTTCTTCACCAGTCTCAAACAACTTGATACACATCACGCAGCGAAGTCAGGTTTCTGTCATATGTATGCTTTGTTTGTATAAGGTTGTCTCTTTCTGCAGCGCAGCCAAACTATGTTGGACAGTTGTACCTCGTTTATCTGGATTGGTGTAGTTCCATGAAGTCTAGAAAGGAAGGGGCTGTGGCAGGGGAAGGGCAGGTATGAGCTTATCCTGTTGGGGCTGACAAAATTCTTTGTGCAGCAAAACTCTGGTCAGAGGCTACATAGTAACACTCAGATGACATTTTTTTCAAAAAAGGCAGTTTCTGATATTGAAATCCTCTGTCCATGATTAGAATGCATTTCCAATAATGCTTGTTCTTGTTTCTGGACGGTGCTTTTTTCTTTCCAGGTCTTGTCTCCACTGGCAAAGGGCTTGTTCCATAAGGCCATATCAGAGAGTGGTACTGCAATCAGGACTTTATTCACTGAAAAGCCTGAGGAGGAAGCACAAGTGGGTATTTTGTGGCTTCTTTTATTTTCTGATAGTTTTGCAAAATTTAAATTGTTTCTTCCAAAAAGTGCATCTAGATTTCTTTCTTGTGCTACTGCAACCACAGTATATTGGTTGATTAGTAAATGCGAATGTGACTCATTTATATTGATTGCAGAGAATTGCTGCTGCATCTGGCTGTGAAAAATCCAGTTCTGCTGCTCTGGTTGAATGCTTAAGAGGAAAAACAGAGGAAGAGATAGAACAGATAACTCTAAAAATGGTAGGTGAAATTATACATTGTATATGAGGGGCATTTCAAATTTGATCGTAACAGAGCGTGCTAAGTATGTCCTGTAATATTGAGAGAACTTGAAGTCTATCTAACATCTGTCCCTTCTTTATGTTTTCAGGATCTGACAACATTGCGACTGTGCAATACCTCTCCTGAGAATTGTGAACAGGTTCCTTCTCTTTAACTCTGTCTGGGCATTGAGCTACACGTGTTTCACTGTCAGGTTCTGTCAAGGGAAGAGACGAGTATGAGATGTCACAGTTTCTCCTGGAGAAACTGAACATTACTTAACATCATAATTTTGTCCTCTAAATTTCTTGCCACCATCCTGGTTTTCCTGTTACTTTGCAGTTCCAAAGTAGAGGTTAGATTTTCTCTAACCTCTCCATTCATTCATACTAGGACATTTCTAACTAAGAGGAGATGTAAATTAACAATAACCTACATTTCCCAAGTATTTAAGCGCAATGCTAATCTTTGCAAATCTTCTCTGGTTCAAGGCATCTATTGAGGAAAAATAAGGGAGCTTGGATACTACTGCTACTACTTATATTTTCACTTGATATGTTCATTTGGTGAAGACATTACTTTGTTTCTTTGTTTTTCCCCAGGTTCCGCTGTTCATCAGTTCATGTGTGGATGGTGTATTTTTTCCAAAGAGTCCCAGGCAATTACTGTCTGAAAAAGCAGTCAATCCAGTCCCCTATATAATTGGAGTGAATAACTGTGAATTTGGATGGGTAATTCCTAAAGTAAGAGACCTTCAATGGCATTATTTAGATATGTTTTTGGATATAAGATTTCCTCATAAATGTGTATTCTCTTTCCCATGCAGATAATGAAATTTCCTGATTTTATTGACGGTCTGGACAAACAAGTTGCACGTCAAGTATTACAGAGCTCATTTGCATTATCATTTGAGGTGAGAGACCATTTCCAGAATGTTGTGAAATGTTGTGCAGCAGAACTATGATCAGAGGCTACAGTGTAACACTCAGATGAATTTTTTTCAAAAAAGGCATTTCTGATATTTACGTTCTATGTCAGTGATCAGAATGCTATTTCCTCTCTGGGATAATTCCATATTCACATTTCGTATTGCTGATAGTGATTGATCAACGCGGAAGATATTCCAAATCTCTCTCCTAAATGCTCCAAAGAAATGCAGTGGAAATCCAGCAGCAATGCAGGCAACTAAACATAGGTCCCATGACATTCAAGATACACTAGGTTATCCAAGATATGCGTTCTACCAGCAGGTATGACACAATGCCTATAGAACACACAAGCCTTTCTGAAGCTTCACATGGAGACTAGAAAGGATACCTCGGAATGCCTAAAATGCCACCAGAAGACCTGCATGTAGACATGCAGGGGAGATTTTGCTTCCCTGTGTTTTACAAAGCTCTCAGCCTTCTGGTTGCTTTGTGCTCTCCTGAAACTAGAAAACAAAAAATTGCAGATTAATAGGTAAGAATTAAGAAGTTGATAAACATAGCCAGTACTTATAAAGGATCATGTAGAGCCATAGGAATCTATCATAATCTGGGGATGGCAGAGCCCAGGGTTTTTCTGAAAGAGAGTAAGTTATGGCCGTTTGCAGCAAGAAATGGATCTTATGAAATGCAGCAGGATTTCATTGCTCTTACGAGGGTTGTTTCCACAAGAGGAAGAACACAGTTCCGTATCTATCTCTTAGCATCACCAGTTGCTTTTTCTCTAATGGCATTTGAGGGCATCCTTTTTGATCTTTCCAATCTCTTCTCCCTAAGAACATCTATGTTAGGTAAAGGCGCACCACTGTGAACTGTGAGGTCTGCTTGGGCGCAGCAGGGGATTTTTTCTGAAGGATGGTAATGTTTGGAGTCTAGCCAGAGACATGTAGTTTGCTGTTACTTCTTTTAATATTCATTGTCATGTCTGTCTTTTTTGTTTCAGAGTACTACTTCTGACATTGTTGATGCCGTGCTCAGTGAATACATAGGGAAAGTGGAGAGCCGTGCTCAGGTGCGAGATGGCCTTCTTGATGCATTAGGAGATCATGTGTTTACTTTCCCAGCCATTGAAGTGGCTAGATACCATAGAGGTGAGTCTCTAATTCAGCATCTATTCATATAACATTGTTTTTCATTCTTGAGCGTGTCTGTGGACTTTATGTATGTATCACACTTCCTTATCAGAAGATCTGCTAATGTTTTCATTTTATCAATTTAGCTTTGGTGAAAGTTTATTATCATTTTTGGGTGGCATTTGCAATACTAGCATTCTCATTTTTAATTTTATTTTCTGTTAGATGCTGGCCACCCAGTCTACTTTTATGAATTTCAACATCGACCAAGCTCAGCTGCAGGTGTTGTACCTGAGTTTGTAAAAGCAGATCATGGAGATGAGATTGCCTTTGTGTTTGGAAGGCCATTCTTAGCTGGTGATGTATCTATGCATACTAACAGTTCTTTTTATATCAACATTGTTATTAATTTTACTCACCTGAGGACATTCAGAATAGAATTTGTTTAGTAACACTGGAATCAAAATAAGCTGTTTTTTTCTGTTTCCGGTAATAATTACTTGTCATCAATGAATTCATCTCCTCTGTTCACGTAGAACTCCCACAGCCCAGAGTAACAAGTAGATCCATAAAATGGTATGGCTTGGAAGGGTCCTTTAGAGATGATCTAGTCCACAGCCCCTTTGCCATGGAATTGGTTAGAGTGCATTGGTATTTATTGGACTTTTTGATTTTTGATCTTGAATATTGTCATTTCTTCTCTCACTTTGCAGGGAATGCTACAGAGGAAGAAAATAAACTTAGCAGAACTGTTATGAAGTACTGGACTAACTTTGCTAGAAACGGGTGAGATCCATAGTGCTAACTGCAGTTCTAGTTTTGTCTGTGTCGCCTGAAGCACAGCAGCAGCATGGTAGCTCCTGTAAATGTGGCAGAGTCTAAGATAAGCACTGAAACCAATAGTTTCTCTTCTCGATGATTGCAAGAAGAACTCTGGAAATCCAATCTGAAATAAAATCCAAGAGCTATTTGGATCTGCAGTGGAGGATTAGATCCCAGAGTAATGGCAAACATTATTACACGTTTGCTGTTCCAGTGATGAGCATTTTGATAAAAACATCCATCAGTTCAGGTTCTAGAATCGTGCAGTCGGAGCTCCTGTTAGTCTTCTGGAACGATCTCAGGTTGAGAAGTCAGAGCACAAATGGAGAGGTAACTTTTCACTTTTGTGTTTCCAGGAATCCCAATGGGGAAGGCTTGGTACATTGGCCTCAGTATGATCTGGATGAAAGATACCTGGAAATAGACCTCATACAAAAGGCAGCAAAGAAACTGAAAGAAGACAAAATGGAGTTTTGGGTACAGCTCACAGGACAGATGAGGAGTGAAAGAAGGAGAGAACACACAGATTTGTGAGAGCTGTAGAGGAAACAGTTTCCTTGTAAAACCTGAAGTCAAAATTAATTTGTCAGAATGCAGATTTTAATCTTGATTTTCTACTCACTAATATGTAAATTGTTGTCATGATCCCAGTGAAAGGAGAGAATCAAGGGAAGTGCAAAATGTTCATGGAAATTAAAATCAATGATGAAGCGAGCAGATAGAAATAAAGAGTCCTTCAGGCTCAAAGAGACTATACTATCTGACACTCCTACCACCTCTTTCCACTTACTTTTAGTGGAAACAGCTTGAGAGGAGGAGAGCATCCATCAGAAAAGTGTCATGAGATCACATGTGTTTTCCTCTTCTGTAAATTGTTTCAAATACATTGTACTTCTGATTTTTGGAATGTATTTTCTTTCACATAATTTAAGTTGATTCCAGGAGAGTGTTGTGAAAGCCACTAACAAGTCTGAACAAAGAAATTCTACTAAAGTGCAAACTGATAACCACTGGGGATTCTTTCTTCCCTTGTGTATACTGGACAGGATGGCAGGCTTGGGATGCCTCTCTTTGAAGTCTGCAGTAGCTAAGGCCTGCCCAGCCATGGGGCTGCCTGTCATGGGCATAAAATCTGTATGTGATGGAGGCACTGGGCTGCAAAGAAGACAGGCACTTCTCTATTTCTGTAATTTATTATTTCTCAGCTGTCCAGTGAGTGACATGGAAGACCAAGGAGCTCTGTGCAGCGAGGTGGCCTCTGCTTTCAAGCTGCCCAATTCCGAACAGGGTACTTTGCTTAGGAAGCTAAGCTGCAGAGGATGTGTGGTCTGCACACAGAAACCTTCCACTGAGTTCAGGGCCCAAGCATACGTGTGCTGTTTGTTAAAGGAACAGCTTGCATAATCATTAAGACTTCCCTGCTGATGTGCATGAGGTCTTTTGGCATCAGGTTACACACCTTCTGAGTGAGAGCTGGCTGGTCATCTGGATCTTGCTGCCCCAAAGCGTGGAGGAAGAAAGAGGAGAACAAAAACTGACCTTGTGATGCAGCAGAGCAACAGCTGTTCAAAGCGTCTGGCCTGGCACTGGTGTGGATGAAGATCACTCACTCGAGCAGTTCATAGAATCACAGAATGGCTGAAGTTGGACCTTAAAGATCACCTCATTCCAACTCCCCTGGCAGGAGGGCTGCCACCCACAGATCAGGCTGCCCAGGTCCCCATCCAGCAGGGCTTTCAGTGCCTCCAGAGATGGGACATCCATGGCTTCTCTGGGCAGCCTGTGCCAGTTCCTCATCACCCTCTGAGTAAAGAATTTCTTCCTAACACCTAACCTAAATGTCCCCTATTGTAGTTTAAAGCCTTTCCCCCTTTTCTTGTCCCTACTAGATGGTGTAAAATGTTGTGCAACAGGGCAGCGCTTTCAGGAGAGAGACAGTTGGTGGTTACAAGGTTTCTTTAGATTGGCTTGCAATATCACAAACCACTTTTGCAGGTTACCTAGCTCCAGTCAGCAGCATTTGCTGATATATAAGATCAAGAGAGGATTTGTTACATCACAGAATCACAGAATTGTAGGGGTTGGAAGGGACCTCCAGAGATCATTGAGTCCAACCCCCTGCCAAAGCAGGTTCCCTACACCAGGTCGCACAAGTAGGTGTCCAGGCGGGTCTTGAATATCTCCAGAGAAGAAGACTCCACAACCTCCCTGTGCAGCCTGTTCCAGTGCTCCGTCACCTCACCATAAAGAAGTTCTTGCGCACATTGGTGCGGAACTTCTTATACTCCAGTTTTCGGCCATTTCCCCTTGTCCTGTCTCCACATACCGCTGAAAAGAGTCTGGCCTTGACATCAGCCTAAGTCTGACCCTGGAGTACCTTTCCCTTGGGTTTCCTTTTAGTTCCACTCAATCAAGGCCTTACCCAATTTTAGAAAAACCTGTTTTCTTTGGCCCCGGTAAGGAGTGATAGTTACAGCATCTCAGCTGCGAGGGCAGTGAGCCTCACTGCAGTCCGATGGCTGTGCCTGCGCCATCTGCACTGAGAACAACGTGAGGTCTTGTTTCTTCCCCTCCAGATTTAACATCACAGCATAATAAGCTGGCTCTTGGAGCACGGAAGCAGCGTTGAGGAGGTATGACATGTCCAACATACGACTAGACAGGTGCGTTCTGTAAAGCCCTGCTTTCGAGTAACCAAGATATTTAATAACTTTAAAAACATGAGCGTTGGCAAAGTCTGCTTGTGCTCGAGTGAAGGTATCTACGTCATTTGCAAAGTGCTAATTGCTTCATGTAGCCTGAGATAACTCGAAGGATGTACGGTTTTAATGATTATCGAGGAGACATTGTGCGGGACCGCCTTAGACTAAGCCGGTGCGGGTAGGCGGGTCGCTCCGAGGCGACGGGAATCACGGCCGGAGGGCCGCGCCGCTCTCTGAGCGCAGCCGCAGCTTCGGCGCCGAACGCGCCGGCTTCCGTGCTGCCCGCGGGCACGCGCCGCGAGATGGCGGCCGCCTCGGGAGGGCGCGCGCGCCCCCTGCCGCCCGGCGTGGCCCCTCAGCGGGAGGCGCTCCCCGCCGGGACGCGTGTCCGCCGGCGGCCGCCGTAGGGCGCGGAGCGGCGCTGCCATGGCGGCGGCGGCGGCGGGGCCGCCGGTGCTGCTGGGGCTCCGCGACGTCGCCGTGGTGGGGCCGTGCCGGGACGGCGGGCAGCCCCCGGGCTGGGCCACCAACAAGCTGGGCGGCCGCGCGGTACGGGGCGGGGGGTGCCGGGGTGCTCGCCCCGATGGGGCTCCGCGGCCCGGCCCTCCCGCGGCGCCGAGCGCTGAGCGCTGTGTGTGTTTCAGGACGCGCTGCCCTCCGTGCGCCCGGGCTGCCCCCGCTGCGGGGCGTGCGGCGCGGCGCTGGCGCACCTGGTGCAGGTGTACTGCCCGCTGGGCGAGTCTCCCTTCCACCGCCTCGCCAACGTCTTCGCCTGCGCCGGGAGCGGCTGCTGGGGGCGGCCCCAGAGGTGAGGGCGCGGGGCCGCGCGCGAGGGGCGGCCGGGAAGCGCCGTTACCCAGCGCGTTTGTCTGTGTTCTCTCTCACATGTCGGGCCGAAGCTGGAAGGTGCTGCGCTCCCAGAGCTTGGAGGCACGAGGACGGGAGGCGCGGGGCTGCGACTTGAAGCCGGCTGGCCAGGTACGGCCGGCGCTGCCCTGGGGTCCGGCTAACGGTGGGCAGCGTGAGGCGCGGGGCTCAGGGGCTCCGTGTGCTTGGCGCTGCCCGTAACTGTGTGAGCGGCACGAACGTATCCGCCAACGGCCCTCACATCCGTGTGCGGGGTCGGGGCTCCGCGGTCAGGGTGGTGGTCGCGGTTACAGCAGGTATTTGCTGTCAGAATTTCAGGAATTTCTACCTTTGAAGCCTTACTGGAGCGTTTGCTTGGGATGGTTGGAGGAGGAGCGTTGCTTCCACGTGAATGCTGTCAGGCAGGGAGAGTGCTGATTCAGCCAGGATATTTACACTTGCAGTAGTTTGGTCTGTGGCTTTGTATTCCTGTTAAAATGGGGTAAATTTGTTTTATTTCTTCGTATTCCACTCTTTGAGCTTAGTGCAGCGCAGTTACTGGTTCAGAGAAATATCCAAGCTGGCTTCCTGCAGTCATGCCAGCAACAGGGTAATGGCGATGCAGCGCATCAAGCAAGCAGCCATTGCATTATTGCACCATTTCCCCAGTCTGACGCGGTTTTTTGCCATAAGTGTGCTGCTGTGAGAAGCAAACATGGATATGCTGGTACCTGGCGTTGAGAGGGGATGGGCAACATAACACTAAGCACGAGATTAAGGTTTTCTTTCTCTTATTCTGTATTGCAGTGACACCGCATCAGTGCGGTCAGCCTTGAAAATGTTTCTCTTCTCCCTCCCTCGCAGAAAGAAGAATGTAACTTTTCTGCAAAGGACTGGTGTGCTGAGGCAGACGACTGGGGAGGCTGCGGCGGAGCAGAGTCTTCCATATGTGCCCTTCAGATGTTGGGCCTAAATGCAGGGATGAGCAGCTCTGCATCTGGAGAAGCACAGTGTGTGTCACAGCTCCAAGAGCTTCGCTTGTCTGAAGCTGCAGATGTGTCAGGTCCCCTAAATACAGACCTCCTACTCAGGGAGGAGATGGTAATGGCCACTTCGGCTCCCGTGTTCCACTCCTATTACATTAGTGTTGTGGATGAGGCAGACTATGCTGGTTTCCTTGATACAGATCATGCAAATAAACTATTGAAAGATTATCAGCAGAGAGAGGGTGTTGATCTGGAACATTTGCTGTCAGAAAGGTAAGAACCTGTTTGAACCTCATGCTGAAGCTGAAGGGATTGTGTAGTTCAATTTGTACTGAGTGATGAACTAAGTCTAGTTCTCAGTAGATCTGAATACGTTCATAACTGACTCCTTCAGGAAGCAATTGTATGTAGGATGTTGCAGGAAACACATAACATTGTACCTGTTTTCTCCAGTTTGGAAATTTTGAGTTACACACTGCTGCATCTATTTCTGAGTGACTGAGCAGCTGGAATCCCCTTGGGATCCAGACAGAGCAGTGTACCTTCAGTCTATGTAACCAAACCAGTGTGGTTTGAACAAAATCTTATGCTATGTTTTATGAGTTCATATTGTGACATTTGGACATTCCTCTTTTTTTTTCCTTTATAATGCTACAGGTTTTGTTATTCTGGTTGCATTTTTAAGAGCTGAGAAGCTCAGGGATTTCGACTAGAGACTGGGATGATGACTGCAGTTAGTTAGACTCAGGGTTTTTGATAAAGAAGTGGTCAGGAAAACAATTTCTGGGTGTAGGTGCTGAAAGTATTTCTGATTTTAACATAGGTGACCACACCGAGCTTTAGGTATAAGCAGGTATCTGATGGATATGAATGTCTTATCATAGTTTGAAACACCGTTGGCAACAGATAGTGGACCTAGAAGCAGAATGTTCTGCTGCGAGCTGGAACAGTGACTACATCTTAATTTAATGTTTGGCTTTTTTTCTGTGTGTATAAATTTAATGTGAGTATCTATTAATTGGAATGTATTTAAAGCATGCCTATTGTACTGAATTTGAATTTTTGGTTTATTCCTTTTTCTCTCGTAGTTTTGCTGGTAAAGATAATAATGAGAAGTATGAGAAAAGTGAAGTTAGAAGTGGGGACCACACGTTCCATAAATTTATGAAAAGAATATCTGTCTGTCCAGAACAGATTTTAAGGTATGTTGATCAGCTGGTAGTAACAGGCAGAGACAGCACTTAGACGGAGGCTGTCAGTAAATAAAAATAAACAATTTAATTGAATATATTTACTTATTTTTCTTAATTGAAAAACTTGCTAAGTTTTGATTACATACTTCCAAGGCTATCTCCTCCTCTGAAGTTTTGTAATCTTGTTGTTACTGCTTATGGCTCAGTCTTTGGGATGTCAATGAAGTAAGAAATTACTCTTTTTAAAGTCTGAGGTCCTTTGCAGCTTATGACTACACCCAGTGACCATGCTGAATGGCTTGCTCTTCTTAGAACAAAAGTGAGTTTAATCTCAGAGAAAACTCCTTCAAAAAGGAGAAGCTATTTCTGAGTGAGAGTGTATCAAAGTGTTCAAATCCTAACTTATTTGTAGTACCAGATAATACAATTTTCATGAATTGTACAAGCATTAGTTTGTAACTTCTTTAATCCAGAGAGTTGGATGCAACCTACCTGCTCGAGCTGTCGCAGTGTAGTGGCAGAACTTTTGTCTGCCAGGTTTCCAGAACTAGGAGAAACTGGCAGCTTTTTGATGAGGAAGTAAAGTTTGAGGGGTAGGTTATGCAGACAGGAAACGTTAGAAACATCCATTACTTAACTATCAAATATTATACAGAACATTTACTAATATAAGTAAATGTGCGAGTAACATTTTAAGAAAACTTTTTTTTTAAGAATCCCCTGCAGGTGTCGTTGGTATAATTGAGTCAAGTTTAGCATGCTTTGGAGGTGTCAATTTAAACCATTTACCCCATTAGATCCATCTCTTTCCTTAAGACTTTGTAAGTGTTGACCTTTCACTGTTCCCTTTCCTATCTAATTTCTGTTGAGTGACTCATCTGAAGCATAGGCAGATGGCTGGCTGCTAACAATGTGGGTTTTTTTCCTAGTTACTTGAGATACAAAAAATAATTTTTTTCTTGTTTTCTCTTAGATACTCTTGGGGTGGTCAGCCTTTGTTCATAACTTGTCCTCCAGCCAACTTTGACAACAGTATTCCAGCCTGCAGTAACTGTGGAAGCAACAGAATATTCGAGTTTCAGCTTATGCCAGCACTGGTCAGCATGCTGCAGGGTGATGCAGGTATTGACTTTGGACTTAGCTGAAAGTATTAGAAATATATTGATAAGGTTCAATAAAGTGTAATTTGGATTGTTTCTTGTTAACCGTAGGCACTGGTGTGCTTAACTATAGTGGTCATAGAACTACGTAGGTTACAAATAGATGCATATATGCACCTAGATTATGGATATAATGTTTCCATTATAGATTTCACTAAGCAAATGGGAGCTCTTCCATTCGACTTCATGTGCTTCCTGATGTACTTTTATAACAGCAGTGTAGATAATGCTGTGACTTTGGTAGTGATTATCTTTATTGCCTATTAAATGAGAGCATACCTCCCCTACTAAAGGAGAAAGGAGGCATTGGAACTTGATGATCCTTGAGGTCCCTTCCAATCCAAGCCATTCTGTGTTTCTATGAAATAAGGCCTCAGAAAATAATAAATATTGCCATGTAAGATTGCAGGCACCTAAGAAACTCTTTGAAAATTCTCAGTCATGCTGCTTTAAAATCTCTGAAATAAGAAAATGTATATGGGAGGCTGAATGTGGACAAATGTGTTTTGGATTGGAAGGTTGAACTGCAGTGATAAGCAGTAGCCACTAACTGAAGCATCCCTCTAATATGTTACGTACCTTTATTGTTTTGTTTTTAGATCTGTCTGTGGAATTTGGGACTGTTATAGTTTATACATGTGAGCGAAGCTGTTGGCCAGCAAATCAACAAACTCCTCTGGAAGAGTTTATTTTTGTACAAGAAGACCCTGACCAGAAATTATTTAAATAAATTGTATTTCTCTTCATAGGTGGAAAGTCTGTTCTTTGTTGTTTTGTTTTGCTTTATTTTTTTGCTGCAGTTGAAAGTATGTGGTTATGCGACAGTTTTCCTCAAATGTGGTGGAAAATGGCATTCATTTGTTGGCATGGTGCTTGTTTCCTAGAATAACTGACGTATAAGCATGGCTGCAAAATGTGGCAACAAAAAACTTGCTTTGTTTAAAGAGGCAATTCTAAGTGGAGATTATTTTGGGATTATTGTTATATTTTTAAAAGCTTGGGGAAGAAAATAAAGGAAAAAGGCTGCCTAATTGCACTTAGTTATGCTGCTGGTGATCGTCAATCAAGTGGGATCCAGTTTTTAGAAACTACTAGCAGTGAGAAGCTTAATATAAGTATTTAAAAACAAATTACTTCATTTGCATTGGTGGTAGACTGGAAATTCAGTGGACAGTGGCTGAGACGGCCTTGCAGTCTTCTGGCAGTGAGGACTTTCTGTATGCTTTTACAGTGAAGGATGTTACATTTGCTTGACTAGATGAGTTCTGATGGAGATCACATTGCAACGAGTGGAGAAAAGGTGACAGTTTTTGCTAGCACTCCTGTTCTTGCAGTTTTAATGGAGTCTTAATGGAGGAGTAATTTAAGTAAGCATCCCTAAAGATTTTTGCTCAGGCTTAATGTCACAGTACAAATCAATCTGCTGGAAGTGTTTTGGTTGGGTGTTTGTTTTTTTTGGGGGGGGCTGATGAAATGTTGTTTGCAAAACAGTTTTTCAGAGATAAATTATAGCTTCCCATGCCAGCTTTTAGAGCCGAGTTGGAGAATTTAGGTCAACCTATGTGAAGATCTCACTTCATACTTGTTAAAGCTTCCTGACTCTCCCTGGGCACGAGGCTGACGCGTTTCCCAGCTGCAGCCAGGAGCCGGGTGCCTTTTTTGTGGGTGCCGCGGCCAGACGGGGCGGACCTTCTGCGAGGCCCCGCGTGTCCAGACCGCGGTGCCGCCTCGCGTCGCTCCGGGCTCCCGTTGGCGCTCCGCCCGGGGAATGGCGGGCGCGAGGCTCGAACCGCCGGTCTCCCGGCTCTCCCGAGCTGCGCCGCCCGCTGCCGCCTACCTGCGCCGCCCGCCGCGGCAGGCCGCGGCCCTCCAGGCCGCCAGGGGGCGCTGCGGGACGGGCGGGCGGCCGCCGCTTTCATCTCGCGCGGGCTCGCTGTCCGGAGCGCGGCCCAGCTGAGGAGAGTCGCGCGGCGCCGCTCTTTCCGCCCGTCGCCGTTTTTCGCCCGCCGTCATGTCCGCGCCCGCGTCCGGCCCCCTGGGCAGCGAGCTGGCGGAGGCCGTGGCCCAAGCGCGGCTCTTGGTGGTGGGGGCCGGAGGCATCGGCTGCGAGCTCCTCAAGGACCTGGTGCTCACCGGCTTCAGCAACATCGACGTGGTGCGGGCCGCGGCCGGGCCGGGTGCGGGGTCGGCGGCGCGAGGAGGGCCGCGGTGGCGGGGGCGGGCGGGGGCCGGGGCCGGGGCCAGGCCGGGCGGGCGGGGTCGGGGGCGCCCCGCGGCGGGCGGCGGCGCTGCGTGCGGCGCTGCCCCTCCCCGCCCGCATTGTCTGCGTGTTTTCAAACTGCTGCGCGCCCGCCGAAGCGGCCGGGCCTCGCGCCGCCGGGGGCCGGGCTCCGCACAAAGGGACGCGGCCCGAGCCGCCTCGGCCCCGAGCCCGCCTTCCTCGGCGGAGCGAGCGCCGGGGCGGCCGAACGGCCCTCTTCGCCGCGGAGCTCGGACCGCCCCGCCCTCCCGGCCGCCGCTCGGCGGAGGAGCGGCCGCGCCTCTCCCGGGGCCGGAGGTGCGGGCCGGGAAGCGGCGATGCGCTGCCCCTGCGGCTTAACGGGTGCGGAGCTTAGCGGGCTGGCGCTGGATGGAGCCGTGCTTTTAGCGCTGAGCTGTAAAACCGCCGTGCTGTGAGAGCTTCCCGCGCGCCGGTGCTTTCGCTTTTGCTTCCTGAAGCTCTGCGAGCGTAGGAAGGGCGGAACTCAGCTGAGGGTGGCGCGGGACGCGGGACGGAGAGAAATGGCCCGGCCTCGTGCCCTTATTCGGTGCTCAGGGAAGCTGAGAGAACTGCGCTCAGAACTTCACGTTAAGAGGCCGTGGGAGTGCAGATTCAGGGCTGTTCTGCTATCTGTGTTTTAGCTCATCGGTGCTTTGCCGGGAGCCTCTTCTGAGCGGTTCCTATGACACGTGAGGAGTTTGTCCCTGCATTCAGACCTGTTGAGCGGAGCTTATCGGAAGCAGCTTCTCTTAGCACTGCCAGCCGGTAGCAGAGCCCAGCTGCCTCTCGTTTGTACAGCTCAGGCTTTGCACTGAAATGGGTCTGTAGGGTGTGCTGAAGTGTAATTCCAGATTGTCCTTTTGATTTGAGTCTGCCAGTGGGAGCCTACCAAATTTCAGCACGGTATGAGTGAAACGAACACAAGAACGGAAACATGATTTCTGTGCTGTTTTCTGTGCCCCCTTTTTTCTTTTTACCTTATTCTGCCACTTGTGTGCTCCCGCAGTCCCCTAACATACAGTTTAGTATCTCCTGGTTTTCCAGTTAGTCGTTAAGCATAGATCCCATAGGAGCAAGCTTGTTGTTCCCTTTAGTTAGATCTTCTTCTGATTGTCTGTGGAGTCTGCCTCGATTGGATTCCATTACCTTAAGTATGTGTTGGATCAGAGCCATCCTCATTTAAAAATATTACTCTCATGTAATGGAGTAGCATTTTGATAGCATATGGAATGAATGGGCAGAAGACAAGGTGAGAGCAGGAACAGAATTGTGCAAACAGGCAATTTGATGTCAGTTGAAAAAAACTGCTTGTCATTGTCCGTGGTATTATTGGGGATTTCCTTTGATTATTACAGGTCAATGAACTCAAATGTCTGAGAATACTTGTTTGTATAAGTAAACTGTGGGGTTATTTATTTATTTATTTATCCCAGCATTAATCCTAAAAAAGAAAAACAGTTTTGAACGGGAGCACTTCAGAAACACGAAGCTTAACTAAGTATACTTTATTGAAAGTAGAACAAAATTAAATGTCAAAATACAAACCTGTATTCAGAACACAAAAAGTTTATTCTTAGGAAGTTCCTTTCCTTCTGACTTTCAAAAATGAGAGCAGTGTAAAGTTGCTTTAGCTTGAGGACTGTCAAATTCGGATCATTCTCAGCTGAATTGTAGCTTTGGTTGGAGTCCAGTGGTGTCAAGTAGTCTCTTTGGAGAAAAATTTCCATTACCATTTCTGTCTTGGCAGTACTGTTTGAGATCAGTTTTCATTTGCAACTTATGTCAGTTACAGTCTCCAGTTAAAGGGCTGAAGGCTTTCTAGGCAGTTGGACATCAACAGATGAATGCACTCAGTTTCTCTCGAAGTTCCCGACCTTCACGGCTTTGGTCTAAGCGGGTCGTGTGGCTGTTGTCTGGGAAGGGAGGTGGAAGTGTGTTTTTGGGCAGATATCCCTTTTGATGAAGGTTACAAGAACACGAGTGGTTGGGGGCACAATGGGTAATACAGATTGACAACTTCTACCTCCTCATACCTTTCTGAAACAGCTTATATTTTGTGTGCTCAGTACCCACAGGTGCTTTTATGCAGCATTTAACTAAAACTCTTCACTAGAAGAGTGTTCAGCACATTAAATTTTAATCCTTAAATTAAACACTTAATTAAATATTTAAATAAATACTTCCTTCAGATAACATCAAGTTGAAACTTTGATCTTGTATGCAGAGAGTCCTTCATGGGAAATGCGTGATGTACTTTTACATTTATTCAAATTCGGCTCATAAAATTAAAAGCAAATGAGAGCACCTCCAGTAGCTGGTGTGTAACCTGAGCACTGAGCAGTGCCCTCCACAGAGCTGAAAGTGTTCTGTGCTGAGTACGACAGCGTTAGCAGTGGGAGTTTGGGGGGTACTGCAGGATCAGGAGAGCTGTCATCTCACCCTCCCTGCTCCTGTTTAAGCACGACAGGGACACGAGCAGGCCTAACTGAGTGTAAGTGACGAGTGGTGACAGCACAGGTAGGAATCAGTCCTCTCACTGTTGGATGTAAATCTGAGTTCCTGTGGGGCAAATACGTTCTTGTGTGTGCATCAATAATTAGAACCATGGCTCTTAGGGGAATTAAAGTTATGGCATACTTTCAGGTCATGCAGCGTGAATATTTTGTGGTGTATGTTTTTAAACATCTTGATCACATGATTCAATTTATTTTCTTTTCTAGGTGAATTTTATATTTTTTTCATATGCCCTTGCCTGGTGGCAGGCCGTAAAAGCTTGCCCTGCACTGTATGCATGAAGTGACAGTGCAGTCTCATGTCCTCCCAGCCACATTCACATGAAGCTGCATGCTCCCATTGGTTTGCAGGTTGGCCTTCCTGGCCTTGGGGAAGCACATGCAGGGGCCTTTCTACATGGTGCCACTGAGTCCTGTGGCATTTCCTCCGGTGTCTGCTGTGCTCCTAATGCTTTCTCACTAAAATCTTCATTCAGCACGAGATAGAAGAGTCAGCTATTGAATTCCATCAAATGTTCTGCCTATGCATCTCAAAATTGATGTACATTTTCAGTGGGGACTCTTCAAAGAAGTTTGTTGTCATATAGCTCTCAGTATTTGAGGTGTGATTCCACTGTTAATAAACGTTTAAATGAAGATCATTTGTCCCTGAAGATCATGGTGCTTCTACAGTTGTGCAAATGTAATATGAGTACGGAGGTCCAAAAAGCAGTCTGTACAGCTCTTGTGATTTAGTTAATCACATTTGATGGCTTTGTTCCTTTTATTTCTGCAGAAGTGAAATGGCTTTTTTTGTGTGTTTGTAGATTGATTTGGATACTATTGATGTCAGCAATCTCAACAGGCAGTTTTTGTTTCAAAAGAAACATGTTGGAAGATCAAAAGCGCAGGTGAGGAAAAAGTCAAAGCTCACGTTTTACTCGTTTGGTGTTATTTTGTGGACATTGTTAGAAACCTGTCACAGTTTTGTTGATGCTGCTGAGAGGTAAGTGGTGGTTGGTTGCTTGTGGCTGTCTGCCAAGTTTCATTTAAAAGTATTAAAATCTCTAAGGTAGTCAATTTACTCAGTACTCAACTGGTACTGAGTCTCTTTAGAAAGAAGGAAGAAATAATAAGTGTTGTTTTTGTTTTTGTTTTGTTTTGTTTTTATTTCTAGGTTGCCAAGGAAAGCGTGTTACAGTTTTATCCAGAAGCTAATATTATAGCTTACCATGATAGCATCATGAAGTATGTTTGTTTTTAAGCTCTAATTACGTGTTCTGATTTGCAAGTACTGTTATTTAAATGCTGCAGTGGTGTGCTTTAAGGTACTTCCCAAACCTTCCGCAATAAGGTAGCTGTAAATATGAGACTGCATTGCACTGAGTGGGAGTGTGGATTTTGCATGAATTTTATTAAATTCTGGTAGCTGTAGTTATTTGCTTATCTCTCATTCTCACTTTATTAGCAATGTTACTACTTGAGATTCTACGCTGTACGATTTCTTGATGTCATGAGTGATAATTAGAGGAAAATAAGTGTGAATGTCGAGTACTTGATTAAAAAAAAATTAAAAAACAGCCAAAACCTTTGTCATGCATAGGGCATAGAATCATGGAATGGTTGTTGAAAGGCAGGTGTAAATATTGCTCAGTTACCAAACTGTTAAAATCTAGTCTTTATGGTCCATAACAGTGAAGTCAGTAAAGTGCAAGATCATGTAGCTTTTCATTAGCTATTTCCCAGCTATTAATGTGCATTTGTCCAGTTTTTACAAAAGGTCACATTCTCAATTAATATTAAGGTTGCAGCTCTGATGTTGCGATCAGCCACTGAAGCATTTGCTCATTGCATCCTCCTCCTAAAACTATAAAACCATTAATCCTGTTTACTTGCTTCTCTGTCATCTTTGCTGCTGCCTTATTTAAGTCAGAAAAATGCAATGTGAAGATGCTAAGGTGTCAGGATTTTCAGGTCCCTCATCTTGGCTTCTAAGGGTATGCAGGCACAATCAAAACCAATTGAGCTTTCCCACTGTAATGAGATATCAGCAGTCTGATGAGCTGTGATAATTACAGTGTGCACATCTTACCCTCAGCTGGTAGTTTTTAAGGTCAATTATCAAAGATCATCCAATTTACTCTTTAGGTCAGAGCAGTGTAAACACTTTTTTGCCTGCCTGTTTCATTGGTCAAAGTGGCAGTGATTGGAATAGCATCCTTCCAGTGACAGAACAGTCATGCTTCTACCCAGTTTTAAAGTGGGCTGAAGACAAATGGGTTGCTTAAAGTCTGAGTAAATCTATAGTGTATGTAATCCATATGAACATCAGTCTGCCCTTTCTGTGTGTGTTGTTTCTGTTGTGGCATAATAACCAACAATTTTGATGTACCATTTTGAATATTGTTTTTCTTTTCTGTAGCCCTGACTATAACGTAGAGTTCTTCCGCCAGTTTACGTTGGTTATGAATGCTCTGGATAACAGAGGTGAAGTTTTCATTATGATTTTGTATTGAAGGTGAAAGTGCTGTTGCTTGTTCATGGGAACAGAACTCTAATATGTTCTACTACTAGTTCTTGAGCAGTGTCAGTTAAATAAGTATCCTCTTAACCCAGCTGTAGTTTAACTAATGCTTTTGAGCACTGTTAAAACGTTGAGAGCATAGTCAGAGCTGTTCCAGGTGCTTTGAAGGTAAACAAGTCTGCTGTGTTACTGCTTTGTGGAAACTGATTCATATTTTGTCACATAAGTAAACACATAACTCTATTAAATTGTCTGCTGTATTTGATAGCATCAGTAAATTTTGTATCAGTTGGACAGTGGGCTTTGTGAAAGAGGCATAATGCTATCTATAGTGAAATAAGGCAAATTCAGGACAAATGTGTGGTAGGAATCTAGCTTGTGTTTGTAGAAGTCAAACTTATTTCGACTTACTCAAATTCCTGTAAAACCTCTTGCTTTGCAGCTGCCCGTAACCATGTGAACAGGATGTGTCTGGCTGCTGATGTTCCTCTTATCGAGAGCGGAACTGCAGGCTACCTTGGTCAAGTAACAGTTATTAAGAAGGTCAGTTGTGTTCTACTCTTGTCACTTTAAGTTTGAATCATTGGCTATTTTAGACAACGGAGTTGGGTGCTGTGAGATAAAGTTACAGTTTGTTCATAGTAGTCTATTCTGTCGGTAGCCTCACGGTGTGACAAGAAACTATTTCACTTTTCACCAGGGAGTGACAGAGTGTTATGAATGTCATCCTAAACCAACTCAGAAGACTTTTCCAGGCTGCACAATCCGTAACACTCCATCAGAACCTATCCATTGCATTGTGTGGGCCAAGTATTTGTTTAAGTAAGTCTTTTTTTCCTTTTTTTCTTTCAGAATGGAGACTGTGACTCACTCTCTTTGTGTAGGTTTCTAAAACTACAGATTGAGAAATTAAGGACACAATTTGAAAACTAATGTAGATAATAGCAAAAACCTCCAGTTCTTTGATGTTTTTTCTGTTTTTTAAAATACACAGCATGTCAATTAGTACTTAAGCCTTGTTCTGGAATCACAGAAAAAAGGGCAGAATGACTTTAAAACAGAGTAAGGTTTGCTGGGATCGTGGAGATAGATGAACTATTGAGGGAGTTATATGCATCTCTTTTACTAAATTCATTTTTCTGTTGGATTTTCTGCACGGTCCATGTTAAGTCTGCATGTGATGAATTCCAACAATTTAAAATGCAATGGATGAAGTAGCACTCTGATAGCAAGAATTCTAAAGTGACCATATGCCAGTTACCAAATATTTCAGTCTTCAATAAGATATGTTTAAAATCTAGTGTTGTGTTGTTCTTAATTGCTGTACAGTCAGTTGTTTGGAGAAGAAGATGCTGATCAAGAAGTCTCTCCTGACAGAGCTGATCCTGAAGCTGCCTGTAAGTGTGATATAGATTGTACTTACCCTCTTACTGAGACGTGTGAGAAATTGACTTCCTTCTGTCCATTTCTTAAAGTTATGGTTCAGCCCCATTTTCTTCTGAGAGGGTTCCACTTAAAGCGCTCATGAACAACATGAATTTAGGGTGTGCAAGCAGCAGGTTCCCTTTGTGTGCATCATACTTACTACTGTGTATTAAAAGTTTGCAGTGATTTCAGTGTCATTGGCTTTTGTTTTGGTTTTGGATTTTGTTTGTTTGTTTGTTTTTAGGTTAACTTGATGCAGTGTATACTGAGAGCTTTGTCTGGCCAGCATGCAAAAAACACTCTTCAAAATGCCAATGTTTTGATAGTTTCAGTTGTCAGAATTGTAGCCCTGGTGGGCAGGTAAAATGTTAATGAAATGATTACTTCAGCTGTTGTAAAAACTTTTTCATACAGTGTGAGATAGGTCTCTGTCATTCATTCGTTGTCTTCAGTGAGAGTGTGGGTAGAGAAGCTGTGAAGAGCAGTCAATATGCTTCGTAATCATAAAGTTTCAGTTCATACACCCAGGTTTGTGATAAATGATTTAGATGAGTAAGTTTATATATATTCAGAGACTCCTATTCCCTCCGGAGCAAACTCTCTTCCCCATGTGCACGGAGAAGTGAAGTGAACTTGAAGTGAAAATTAAATATTGCTGGTCTTTGCAGGACAGCATATTTTCCTGCGTACTGAATTTGATGGAGTACTTCCTTCCCTGCAGGTGGGAGGCTTGCTTTCTGAACCAAAGACTGAAAACTGAGTGCTGTATGTAGTCACACTGCATTTTCCACTCCTGGCTGAGGGATTGCCAAGCTGGAAAACAGGGGTCAAGTCAGAATTCTTCTAGTTTGAGACACTTCCAAGTTCATCAGCATAGGAAAGATGCCCATTTTCTGTGATGTTTTTGTAGCTATTCTGCATTTTTTTTATATGGACAGTGCCTGTAGTCACTGCAGTGGTGAATAAGCATCTTTACTGCTTCTCCTCTTGAATCCTTTTAAATGTTGAGTTTGGGAGAGGAAGCTTAAGAAGAGCCCCAGAATCTCTGAACATCAGATAATGTTCACGTAATGAATGATTCCTATGGGTCGTCCTTAATGAATGGCTGACTCTTAAGAGACTGACACATAAACTCATCTACAGCAACAGCTGTGGGAGTGCTTGAAGGCAGCAAACATGCTGCTGCTAACTTGAAGAAAGATCCCAGGGCAATTACAGGGAGGACTGAGCTGTGGCCTCATCTCTGTAGTGATCAAACTGTCAGTTGCTCTACTGCTGCTAAGAATCAGGGGACCTTCTATGGTATGCTGAGGAAAAGTAAGGGAAAGGAAACCATATCATGTGTCTGTTAGGGTCCTTTGAAAGCATTGGCAAACCTGTGGACAGGCATATCTGCTTTACTCCATTATGAATCTGCAGTGGCACTCTTTTTGTAAGGAAACTGAAGAAGCTAAGATGTATTGCGGGGAAAAAGGATGAAGATCCTGAAGTACTTAAATGATAGAGATAAATGGTGATTAGAGGAGTCTCCCAGTGCTGTTCAGCAGATGTGAATAAACAGACTTCCTCAGAATAATAAAGATGATGGTTAAGGATTAAAAGTAGAAGAAAGCTTCACAATACAAAATGACTAGACAATGAAATGCTAGGTAGATTTTGGTGTGGATAAATAAAATGATTCATTGGAGAAGGGAAGGGAGAACATTCACAAATTTTCATATGAAATGATGGTTTTCTGAGTTGATTTTCTTCTTTCAGTCAAGATTTTAATAGTTGTCTGAAAATATCAACTTGCTGCTTACTAGTAGCCAAGATAGCAATCGCTGGAAGTGACTAGGTGAAAAAATGAAAATGAAAAGCACCTGTATGGATAGAATATTATCATATAGGGATGATCACAGGTAGGAAGCTGATAATCTGTCTTAAAGTTTAATGAGATTAAAACTGTTAAGCCAGGAAAAAAGACTACTAAAAGGAGATTGTTAGAGATTTATGAACTCACAACACAGTGAGAAGAAAAGAAATAGGGAACAATTGCTTATTGCTTCTGCTAGTAAAAGAATTTGAACTAGTGAACTGTAGTTGTAGAAATGAGCAGTCACAGTTCCACTGTCTAATTTAGCTTTTATTGGGAACAGTAAAGCCATTTTATGGTGCTTGAATAATTTTGATCATTGACACTATAGGAAATATTTGGATATGATTTCCTTTTTTTTCCTGTTAACTAACGTTTTGTTAATGCTTTATTTATAGGGGAGCCAGCAGAAGCAGAAGCCAGAGCACGAGCCTCAAATGAAGATGGTGAGATTAAACGTGTTTCAACTAAGGAGTGGGCTAAATCAACTGGATATGATCCAGTTAAGCTTTTTACCAAGGTACATTTTTTTTTTTTACCCCCAATGCAATGTCTTTATTTGAAGTGTATGAGAAGTTTAAAAGTTTGGTCAAAATCCAGTTTGAACACTAAACATTGAGCATCAGTCATGCAATTGTATTATGACTTGATCAATTTGCTGTTGTGTTGGTCTTTTGCAACATGTGCTTGTCTTATGGCATTCTGTTTGTGTCTTTATGGACAATTTCAGCAGCTTGTCCATATTGTAGAGAAAAAAAACTCAGTTGAGTTGTTTTAATATGAGAAGGTAATCTCTTGAATTCTGTGGAAATTTCACTGTGCCTTATAAGAACCAGTCTGAGGATCAGAAATATATAATTCATGCCCTGTATATAAACAGATGCTGGTGTAAGAAAACAAACTCTTAGGAGTTTTGCTTCTAAGTAGTTGCAAAAAGTGTTCATAGAGAGGAAATGAATATAGAATGTAGTCTTGATAGATAGTAGTAATTTTCTTTATGAGATTAATTGGCATATAGGTAACAGTATTGCAGGGGGTTAGTGTACAAATAGCTGTAGTGATAGCTTCATATGGACCCACTGTTTGGATGACTGTTTCTTGATTTTGGTGCCCCCCAAATTAATGAGAACTGTCTACTTTCTGCACAAAGCATTTAGAGTTTTTTATTATGGAGTTTGATTTTATATGTATTGTTTGAAATATCATCAAGAAGAAAAGCAAAAATTCATAAATCTAATGCTGTTTTTTTCAGTTTCAAAGGAGCTGAAAAAATAAAATATCTCTTTTTCTCTTTTTCCTCCTTTTTTTCTCTTTTTCTTTTTCTTTTTTTTAATGTTGCCTAGCTTTTCAAAGATGACATTAGATATTTGCTAACAATGGATAAGCTGTGGAGGAAAAGAAAGCCTCCAGTGCCACTGGATTGGGCTGAAGTACAAAATCAAGGTAATTGTTCTTTCTCCTGATACATACTTGTAAGTCACATTTCTTGTTTGTTAATGCAGCTCTGTGACATGTACGTTTTCTCACTTTGACAGTTGGTACTGATACTGAACACACTACTTCTTCATAAGTCCTGAAGATATTTTTTTCCTATGTAGAAAACATTTTTTTCTAAAAACTGTTTTGGAATTCTTATTTTGAGTAATCAGTATTGGTTATGGAAAATTCCTATTTCACAGAATTACATGGCAGTGTATTCTAGGGGACCTTAGGGCACACATTGATACATTTTATCTAAAAGCTGAAAACCTGCATTTGTTTTAACTTGTGCACATCTGTTGATGCCCTTTTTCATTTTAAACTGATACAGTTTAAAATGAAGACTGAAAAAAAAAAATCTCAGGGCTGCTGTAGCTTAAGAATACTGTTCTTCAGTGCTTCAGAAAGCATTTAATTTTGTTAAATCAGCAAATTCTTAGCTCTTTGAGAGAATTTTTTTTTTGAATTTATAAATATTCCTGGTATTATTTTTTTTTTTCCTGAAGAGAAAAATGTACCTGACCAACAAAATGAATCCTCCTCAGTTTTGAAAGATCAGCAGGTTCTCGATGTCAAGAGCTATGCACACTTATTCTCAAAGAGTGTTGAAACCCTGAGACTTCACCTGGCTGAGAAAGGTGATGGAGCAGAGCTTATATGGGATAAGGTTAGTTTACCTCATAGATAAGAAACTCTCATATTCTGTGTACTTAATACAAATGTTGGAGTCATTAAGTTTAATTACAATGTAGTGCTACTAAGGACAAAAATGGCTGACACATCACTAAAGGCACTTTCTGTAAGTAAACAAATACATACCTTAGATACTTCATGTGTCTTTGAATGTATGGATTAAGTATTGTGATGTAAAATAATTTACCAACTTTGAAAAGCACAAATTAAGAAGTAGGTGCCATATTTTCATTTTGAAAATATTTTAATAATGCCACTCCATTTCTTCTTTGCTGTAGCTTTCTCTGAAACATGTTCTTGTACAGTAGTTTGTAGCTAGAGTTGGACATAGTTAGCTCTGACAGTAGATATGAGGCATATTACAAGTTCTGCAGAAGAAAAACAAGAAGCAAGGAATTCTTCTTCAGTACCAGAGACAGTGTGATCTTCCTGTGGTCAGTTGTCACCTGACGTAAGAGAAAAATGTAGTGTGTCAGTAGGGGGGGGAGTGACGACCAAAATAGAAAAACAGTATTGCAACAGCTGATGAAAATACTTCTTGTTTGTAAAAAAACAGTGTTTGAAACCAAGCATAAAACACTGTAAGGTTTATTATTTAGACATTATTTTGAACATGAAAAGGCATTTTATTAATACACTAATGCAGTATTAAAATACTAAATACATTTTCTAAATGTGTTTTTAAAGTACTGCTGCTCTGTCTAAACATGCTATTTAAATGAAGAAGTATACATACTTTGAAATGGAATATTTTACAGACTTTTTTATGTTGCAAAGTTTTTCCAGTGTGTAATCTGATTTTTAAATGCACTTTCTGTTAACTTCTTGTCAGGATGACCCTTCTGCAATGGATTTTGTCACTTCTGCTGCAAACCTCAGGATGCATGTTTTCAGTATGAATATGAAGAGCAGATTTGATATCAAGTGTAAGAGTTAAAATATAATGCTTTACTTAATAACCTAAACTTCTGCATTTCATTTGTGTTAAAAATCCATGCACTCTTGCTTCTTTTGCAGCAATGGCAGGAAATATTATCCCAGCTATAGCTACTACTAATGCAATAATAGCTGGTCTGATAGTGTTGGAGGGTTTGAAGATTTTATCGGGAAAAATAGATCAGTGTAGAACGGTAAGTGGGAATAAGACACTTTTCTTTCTCGTTATTCATTATTTATTCAACTGTCATGTTTAACCTTCTTTTACTAGTGTGTAGTTTTACTCCGTATCACTTTTTGTTTCAGTAATTCTGAATGTGTTAGGAACATTCACCCACCACAGAAAGAAAAGTGGAAGTCTTGAGGATTGTGGAGTTTCATCTGATTTCATGAAAATTGGCTGCTGAATAAGAGAGAGAACCAGACTGACGTCACTTGAAACATACTATTTTCGTGTTACAGCTCTGTTTGGCAGTAGCTGGTTAATCAGCACAGGTGTCATTGTGGGTTGGCTGTAATACACACTTTCTCCTGTTTAGTAGGCATGTCAAAAAGGATTAGGGAACAAGACAACCTGGGATTCTTAAGAGAACAAATCTGTAGGGAAACAGATTTTATGAATGCTTTACTTACAGAATAACTTGTTTCATTCTTGTCTGTCTTCAAGATTTTTTTGAACAAGCAGCCAAATCCCAAAAAGAAGCTGTTGGTTCCTTGTGCTTTGGATCCACCAAATCCTAACTGTTACGTATGTGCAAGTAAGCCAGAAGTGACTGTGAGACTTAATGTACACAAAGTTACTGTGCTCACACTCCAGGACAAGGTAAATCTTGAATAGTAGCTATGGCCTCTGCTTTGATTCCAGTATTGTACATTATTAAAGATTTTGTTCAATATATTTTTACTGAATGTTAGCTTTGTCATATTTGCTCTGGTCTTTGTGTTTGACTCAAGTAAAAGAAAAGCTAGATTAGCCAGTATGCATCTTATTTGAATGTCCTTGTATATCTTGTGAAAGAATGTATTTTGACTTTTTTATTCATAACTAACTGGAAAAAAAATAAAAACATTTCATTTGAATAGTTCAGTAGCTGTATTACAGTTCTGTGGTAGCAACTGATTTCTAAAACTACCATTTTAAGAAAGAAGTATTTAAAAAATCAAATTAGCGCATCATCTGAAATTGTAAAGGTGAGATCACAGGTGTCATAGACATTATTTTTTTAGATCCTGAGATTTCAGGTAACAAAATGATAGGTTTTTTGTTTCTTTTTTTCATGAGAAAGGAAAAACAAAGTTTAGGTCTTTTAGCAAATGCTGGAACATGGGCCAGGATAGGAAAAACAGCATAATTCAAGGTTATTTGTCTTATGAACATTATAAAAGCAGATATTGATTATATAATCGATCTTTCCAGATAGTGAAAGAAAAATTTGCTATGGTAGCACCGGATGTACAGATAGACGATGGAAAGGGAACTATTCTTATCTCTTCAGAAGAAGGAGAAACAGAAGGTATGTGTACTGAAGCTTTTTAGATAAAAGTAGATAAAAACTAGGAAGAAACTAAAATAGAAGGAATTGTAGTAAGTGGTTTAGTGCTCAGCCGAATAATTGAAGAGAATTGGATTTGCCGGGATGTAAGTGGCTTAAGAGTAGCTAGTGGGTGTTGTCTAGCTGTATGTACTGTTCTGCTTTCCCATATCAAGTGCTTTCACCTGGAGCATCAGGATTCCACTCAGGAATCAGGTATTCAGCTATAAAAATGCAGCAGTTATCTTCCCCTCTTGGTAGTCCTTTTCACTTTGTCATTTGTGTTATTTTCATGTTCCTTGTAAGCCCTATTGCAGTACACATATTATCTCCAGAAGATGTTCCTAGATGTAATAATAGTTAAGTGAGCATGACACTTGAGACATAGATAAGTCAAAATCTGTAGTTTTAACTTCAGGTTTAAAAGTCAGCTTTTAGTTTCAATTCAGATTTAAGTATTAATGTTCAGTTTATAGGTTAAACTTCTGGAATACTTACTTTTGATAGTAAAAACAGTCTTTATATAAATAGCTGTACACACCACTGTGTTTCACTATTTTTCTAGCAAATAACCACAGGAAATTATCAGACTTTGGAATTCGAAATGGCACTCGACTACAAGCAGATGATTTCCTCCAGGATTATACTCTGTTAATCAATGTGCTTCATAGGTAAGAATTCTGAAATAATTATTTTTGTGTATACGTATAGAATAATTCCACAGGGAGTTTCCAGTTAGGAATTTTAAATTTGTGAATAAAGCTAAAACATTTAGTTGCTTATATAATGAAATTAAATATTTTTTAAAAAATAAATGGATATACTTCAGTGTGTTACATTCTTAATTTCTATTTTATTACAAAATTAATAATATTTTATCTGAACAGTTTGCTCATTAAGTAACATAAAAATCGTGCAAAGCTAAATTTGCTTTTAGAGCAGCTAAAAGGTGAGAAACAGCTACGTAAAAACAGCTAAAGACCCGCTGAAGTAGTAATTCATCTATCTGTGTTCAGATATGGTAATGCAAAGGGAAGTCACTTTGAAATAATCGGTGTGTGCATTTAACTTTGGGTAAGTAGTACACTTATTATATAGAGTAAATCAACACACTGCAATTTCAGTGCAAATAAAAATGTGAGATTGAGGAAGAAAAGTGATCTAGGGTGATGATTTCCTTTCTTTCTTAAGCATTTTATGGCATGGCATTGGCAGGGGAACAGATTCATGAACAGACAAAGCACAAATTATAGAGGAGGGATGAACAGATTTTCCTTCTTTTAAGCATATTTTCCTTACCTTGTACCAGTTGGAGGGACTCTGATAATTTCAATGATATATTTTGTTTGTGGGAAAGACAATGTTTTCGTTGTTCAAAACTGTATATGTTTTTTTCTGCAGTGAAGACCTAGAAAAAGATGTAGAATTTGAAGTTGTGGGTGACACCCCTGAAAAAGTTGGCCCTAAGCCATCAGAACCAACAGCCAAAAACATTACCAATGGTAGCGATGACGGAGCACAACCTTCAACATCAACAGGTAAATAGCAGTCAGTATTAAAGAAAGTGAAATAGTCTTTCAGTCCAATTAAAATAATTTAATTTTATGAATTAACTTTACCAATATGAAGTGAAAGACACTCGAGTTGCCCCTGCATAAATATAATATTAAATAGTAGAAATGCATAGACTGTTTCAAAGGCTTATAGTAAATACAACTTACTATATTATTTAACTTGGAGGTGCTTGAGGGAGGTTGTCAACTGAAACACGTCATTTGCATGGTGATTCAAATAAAGTTAAATCCATTCTATCTCATGGTCACCCTATTGTGTGACAGAAAAGAATCAAGTTTGTTGCTTTTTCCCTACAGATTAAAAATTACTTTGTGGATCTCTTTGATCACATTTTATTCTCTTAATTTAAGAAGATGTCTTTTTAAATCTGCTTAAAAATAATTATTTTTCACCTGCTGAGTAAGGCGTGGCAAAAAAAAAAAAAAAAAAAAAGTATTTGCTACCTAAAAAGTAGCACCATGACTTTTTTAATACAGGGTATTCTTTTGAATATGCCCAGAATAGCTGAACTCAAATACAACATGTGTAGGCAGTAAAATCTAATGTACTGGAAACATTGTAGTGTTTTAGGATGGAGCTACAGATATCACTAAGCTTTTGGATAATGTTCATTTACTTGTCAGAGTCCTATTTAAGACAGACAGAGAAGTGTGTAGTCAGTTGCATCTTGTGTTTTGTTTCATGAAAGATGAAATGTTATGAGTACTGATAAAGGTTCAAATTAAGTACAAAACAACCCCTCTGCCCCAGATAGCATTAGAAACTAGCATGAAATTAATTTTTAAGATGAGTTTCTTCTTGAAGTCCACCAGATGTCTGGAAGTTCATGTTTGGTTCTAGTTTCCCTTCTTTACGCTGTCCATTGTTACCTGTTAGCTCTTTCAAGTTTCCCACTCCACCCTCTCTGTACATGTTTTTCCTCTCGTAGAGCATGGTTCCTAGTGGAGAATGTTATTGAATGCACTAGCCAGAGGTGAGGCTGGACTACAGCTTTGTGTTTGTTTAAAGGTTCTTAAGGACTCTAGCAGATAGCATGCAATTCTTCTACTTCATACATGCAAAAAATTGTGCTAATGCATTTGCATTAGCTAGTGTGGGAATTCCTAAAAATATGGGAATATTTGAGTTATTGAAATGTTTTCCATACCTCTAATGAAAAGGGAATAACCATGTGAAAAGCATATTTCACGGGTTTTGGAGAAATTCAAAAGATTCTTGCTGCTTGTTGACAGAGATTATGGATAAAGAACGATCCGAGATGTATTTGTTACATTAGGGGCATCCTGTTTTGAGAGCAGACTGTCCTTACAGTACCCATTAGAATTAAAAATATGTATTTTGCAGCTCCAGATCAAGATGATCTATTTATTATTGATTCTGAAGATGAAGGCCATTCAAGTAATGCTGATGATACAGAAAATAAGAGCCGCAAGAGAAAACTAGAAGATAAAGAGTGCATCAGTACAAAGCGAGTGCGTATGGAGCAGACAGAAGAGCAAGATGAAATTATAGCTTTAGACTGAACACGCAGATGTTGTTTGACAAAATGATTGAGTTAATGTAATGCAGCAACAGCATATTATTTGGGGATGTGAAAAATGTCCAGAACTAGACTAATTGTAAGGCTTTTGTTCTGAGGAAATACCAAACCATTGGCTTAAATAATTTTTGTCTGTTTCTCTTGATGATAAAGCTGTCATCTCAATAGAGTCTTCTAGAAGTTTTTCCATATTGAATTCCATATATTAAATGTAGTAGAAACATAGTTTTTAAATACTTGCAGATAAGTATTTACTTAAACAGTCATGAAAAAAAGCATGTTATTTTTGTGTAAATACCTTATAAGTATAATTCAGTAGGACAAAAAAAAACTACTCTGGTTTAGTAAAGGGTCATCACTTGATGCCTAGATTTGTAAGTACCTAAATTTTTTCTTTTGCTTGAAGAAAAGTATTTTTAGTCTAGTCCTAAACATTTTTCATACTCTGAACAAGGAGAGAATTCACTAAAGGAAATTAGTGCCATGTTTTAACAGTGTTCTTAAACTTTAACTGGCACTGTGTACATTACTGTAAAACTGTTAATTTACTCAAGTTTTTCAGCTCGTACTGCCTGGTATGTCAATGTAAGAAGCAAATTTTTTGTGTATTGTTACAGTTTCTGGTTATTTATATTTGATGTTTTGTAAACTCAGATATTACTACTATACTGTACATCTGACGGACCAAATAAATGACATCTGAAGTACTTGCTATATATGCTTGCACAGTCCAAGTGTATGCTGATTTATGGGATTTTAAAATGTATAGCCTTCAAAAATTACTGTACTATTTTCATTTTTCTAAACATAACCTAGTAGTACAGAACTTAAGCTTCACTTGTTTGAGGTGAAAGGGGAATTTTTTTAATAAAACCTTTGTGAATGTTTTTTTTTCCCTTGGACACTTATTGGCTTTTTCAGTTGGAGCACTTGCATCACCACACGCATGCTTGCAACACCTCATGCCTTCAGAAAGAGAAAGCACTGGGCTTTTATGTGCTATACTTTGTGCTTATGGCAAAAGTGCAGTGTTTAGGAACAGTGTCTTAAAGTCTGCTGCATTTGTTGACATGTTTTAGTAGCTCTCTGTACTATCAGCGTTGATTCTTAAAACATAGTAATCTGCCATTTCTGTCACTGCACTGAAATTTCTTGCTAGCTTTGTGTTAATGAACCAGAACAGCTTATATTCATAGATAAGTACTCAGCAGCAGCCTTACGAAGTAGAGAAATAGAGTGGACAGGATTTATTTTGTTGCAGTTAATAAACTGACTGCATTTTTAACAAGATGTTAACCATGTAATGAATGTAAAAACCAAACATGGCACTTGTTAGTTTCTGCATCCGATTCTGTCTAATAGAAGACCAGGTTCTCATCCATATTGAATTGCCAGTGCAGTATAAAACTATAATGCAATGCAATTAATGTTTTTTCTCTACTTTTAGGAAGTAATAGTCACACATAACAGCTTGTTTGAAGACATAATACTCGAAAATGAAATTAAACCTTTGAGTTAGTTGCTTCTTGGCCAGCATCAGTGAAGACTGAGAGGTAAAGATGTAAATAAGAGAGAAACAATTTTCAGCACTATAATGGGAAGCTTTTATAGTTCTCACTATAAACAGTTAAAGTACTAGAATTTAATGTCTGATATTTTCCAATAACAAAGATCAGCATCTTCTCTTTTAGCTTCACTAAAAATAAAATTATTGGTTTATTAAATAAGTTGTCAAATGGCTTGTTATCTGTGTAATAGGATGTGATTCTCACTGTGGCGTGACAAAGCTGTATGTAAGCTGCTGGCATCATAATGTGTGAAGAAGTGGTCTTACTGCAGGATGAGTTTTAGAGAAGTACTGAAAAACTTAAGATATGCATCATTGTGTGATTTGCAGCATAAAAGGTAATATAGCATTTAACTGTATAAGCAATTACAAGTTGACATATTTAGGAGATATGTTTGTACTGCTTTTCTTTGGGATTAAGTAGTTATATAGCAAAAAAAGGCTCTCCTTCCTGTAAAATAATCTAAAGTGAATTAATTCTTCAGTATAGTTTTTCTGTATACCAGCAGCTTCTGTAAACATGACAGGATGTTCATACAGTCTTTGTTCTCTTGGGTTCTTGTTAAGTTTGGTAATACTGAATGAATCAGTAAAAATGCAGAATGATTCTATGCTGGATGAAAACGGCTCTTCAGAACTGATGGATGTATGAGCATCCTTAAGTGGCTACTGGCCACTAACACTGTAATGGTGTAGAAGGTTCCAAACCAAACTTGCTCTTGCAAAAGCAAATTATACATTGTATAATATATAAATGTATAAACAAATTGTACATTGATGCATTACTAAGCTTTTAGGTTTTTGTTCTTAACAAGCAGCTTTTCAACAGACAGTTTGTTAAAGCCCTCACAGCAGTAGTATTAGTATTGGAGGAAATACAGCAACATTCGAAGTTAGAATGAATGAAATATTCCCTAGTTCCTTAGCTTTGCAACCTTGATGCAAGCTCTGTCTCCATTAAGGGTTTCTGAGCCAGGCTCATTAAATCAAATTGCTATTTGCGGTGATACAAAGCGGCCTTTCTGACATGCAGCTTTTTTTCTAATTGTTTGCTTATAATGATGCTAATTTCTGTGAGACAAGTAATCCTTTCTGGCTGGTTTTCGTATTAATTCGTTCTTAATGCTTGTATTTTTTATCTGTGTGGTGAACTTGAGTGCCGTATATAAAAAGAACGAGACAAACTAATATTTTAGTGTAGTTGATTGCAGCTGTGAGTGTATCTAATATCTGCCTTTGTATGCTATTAGTTCAATATCGTTGTTGTCTACTGGAGCACAGAAAGGAGTATTGACCACTACTGATATACAGCAGTTACCATGAATCCTTTAAGTTGTTCTGAATTATGGTGAAGAAGCATGTAACAATTTTCCCAAAATTTTACTGTTTTAAAAACCTGTCTGATTCTCAGAGCATATAGAGAATCACTCTTTAAGGGGCAGATGATGACAGTTCAAGTCAGGGGAACTTTTTGGGTGATGATGTGATGGTCTGTTAACCAGTCCATCTCCTGAAAAGCAACTTTGACATGGAGATACCAGTAAGATGTCTGTAGTAGTGAGGTTTTAGTTTTGCTTTATAAAACTATTTTGTTGTTGAATGGCAGGTTGATGTGCATGATTTTCTGGCTTTTAGGCTGTGACAGCTGGCAAGCAGATTGATGTGCCATTTCAGGCTGTGACCTTTACGACAAAGAGCTCTTGCTAGCCATTTGTTAGATCACAAAAGATAAAATGAGCCCAATATCAGTACTGATATTGGATGTGCCAAGCTTTATCTCCACTGTCACAAAGTTGTAAATCTGCATTTGAAAACTGAACAAACACTGAATTTAGGAAAATAGTCCCCTCCTCTCTACCCTATTCTGTTTTCTTCCTTTTAAGTGGAGGTATGTTCTTTCTTCTCTTTGCATCTATCCTTATAGAAATCTTCAATTGTGCATATCTAAAATGTTGAATTTAGAAGAAAGCAGAAACTAGGATGAAAGTAATACAACAAATTCTACACAAGTCAGTCATTTATTTGTTGCTTGCCTGAAATTATTTCTGGGCTACTATCTTAAGCAGAACGATTATGGAGAGCATATACGCACAGACAAAGGGATAGGAAGATGCAACTTAATGATTTGGAGGCTTTGATTCTTTTTAAAGAGGCATAGGATGAAGGAAATAAATGTACTTCTAGATACAAGTTGATATAGAATATACAGTTCATATTAACAACAAAAAATTGCTGTTTGATTTCTTGTCATTACATTTGTCTTTCTCATCAGCATACTACTTCACTCACATGAGAAAAGTGAGAGATTTTCAGCATGGCTTCCTAAAGAAAAGAGACTTAGGGAATTGCTCCACTAGTCCTCTTCAACATTTGAAGCTACTTGTATTGAGCAACTACATCTCAAATGTACTGTAATTCTACAAGTAAGTGGCTGTAGATAGAGACCCACACAAGTGCTTTTGTAATAGCATTCAGCCTTTAGGTGCAGCGCTCACACACCTGCTGGTTGGCACCTACGCAGCTGCTCATGGGCCTTTGCTGTTTTTTGTCCATTGAAGTATGGTCTGAAGGCAGCAGGAGTGTGTTGGGAAGGAGGGTGACTGAGATATTTAACCTAGAAGCTTGGGAAGCTGCCTGGAGCTGTAGCTATCAAGGGAACAAGAAGGCTGTATGTTGGTGGATGTGTTGTAGAGGAGGAGTGCCAGAGACAAGAGTGCTGACAAGTCTGTTGAAGAAAGCAGGCAAATGCCGTGGAGAAACCTCAAGGTAGCATGTGGCAGCTTAAAGCTTGGGTAAGTTCTGAAGACTGTTCTTCAGATACAAAGAGGGTGCCACTGCTGCAACAGTACTGGGAATTTGGAAAGTTAAAAGCTGGAGAATGCAAAGAATGCAGAAAGCAGACATGTATAAGACCAGCTTTCATTGGTTCCACTGTTTATGAAACAGCTCCTTCTTGCAAATAGGTTGATTATTTTCATTCAATGAGTGTTAAATCTATTACATTATGGAAAATACCGTAAAAAGTAAATATAATTCATATTCTCAACAAAAGGATGTCCCATGTCTTCTGAAAAGATTCTTCTCATCAGAGCTGAAGTGCATTGTGTTGTCAGGGTGGGAGGCCAGTGCTTGTAGCCTGCCATCTTTCTTGGACTGGTATAAAAAGGCATGGTTAGTCTGGTATTCTTCACCAGCACGGAACAGGACATATATAGCAGGACCTGTATATGCAGTGTTTCTGTTATTTTTTGTTTGCTTTTTTTTTTTAATGAAATGTGTTAATGCAGTTTGATCTTTTTTAATGGATGATGGTTTGTACTGCTGTAAACAAGTCTTTCTTTTTATCATGTCAGTATAAATTTTAAATCTATGTACTCTCCTTTTTTAATATTTTCACTTCTTTTGAATGTCTTTGAATAAGACTTCAAACATATTAAGTGGCTGCACTGTTAACCAAGCCAGCCAGCTAAACCATGCATTTATGCATATGTAGTGGCTGCTATTAAGCTAAGTGATTGTATTTGAATTTATGGTATTATGTCCTCTGATTGCAGGGAAGTATGACTAAGGCTGTGTGCAGTCTCCCAAGTATGAGCCAATGAATTGCTTTGGCCAGGAATGCCAAAAGCAGAAATATGTAAGAGAAGTGGAAGATAAAGCTATAAAAGAAATAAGATACATAAATGGTGTATTAATCATAAGTACTTAGATATATGTTGTCTGTCTAATGTAGCATGTTCACAAAGTGTGACTAGAACTTTTCAAGGTCTGTCCCAAGTTACATTTGTGCAGCGTGGTGAATAGCTGCATTTGCAATGAATAAGAAGAATGTAAAAAATGTTAAATAGTGTTTTATTGCAGATTGAGAATGAGAAATGACCCGTAAACCTGCAGAGTAGTGTTAGTGAAAAATACTTCAAATAGTTGTGTCCAGCAGTTGAAGGTAGCCACTGAGCTACAATGACTTCTGTCCACCAGAAGGTGGTGCCCTAGAATACATTCGGTAATTGCAATTTTTAAAAGCAGTGATTTGTGAATGAGTATTTAAAAACAAACAAATACAACAAAACCATGCTAAGCTACAGTCCTAAAAACAAAACAGTGCAGCCTTTGTGATGCTTGTACTTTCATTCATATCCTGAAGTAGTGTAAAAGTAGTTGCATGGTTTGCTGCTTACAGTGAAGTGGCTATCTAGATTTAAAGTATTTTGGAGAGCTAGAATGACCTTAATTTACTTTAATTCCAAATAATCAGTCAAATATTAATGCATATTCATATCCAGACTTTATATTCTGAAAAGCTTGCTTATAATTAAATTCATCACAATACAAATGATCATACAGGACTCAAGCAAGATAAAGCAATATAAAACACAATACAGCTACAACTTAAATGAATACAAAATAAAAGCTCCAAGTTAAAACATTCCTCTTCATATTTTTATATAAATTTCACAAGTATTTCTTTTTAAATCAGGCTTTGGAACAGAGGGAGGAACAGGAATAATAGTGATATTCTTTACCAAGAAACAAATCAATGTTATAAGTGGAGATCAGAAAAGTAAACCCAAGTAGCACTAAGTCTTATTTACCTGTGGATTTTAAAGTATAATTTTGTTGGTTTTTTTTATAAGGGAGAGAAAGAAGGAAAATGCAAAAAAAAAAAAAATAAAAATAAAAATAAAAAATAATAATCATGTAGCATCCAGTGCAACACGCAAATCTGCCGAGCAGCTTCACATTGAAAAATGGATGAAATGAGAAAATTAACTCCCTCTGGTGCTGTATCAGTAAAAACATACATTATAAAACATGCTACAGCGCAAGTCAGGCAGATTTTTGCCACAGTCTTAAGGAGGGCCAAAGTTTCACCAGCGAATTCTTAAATCTGTAGATTCCCTGCTTTGTTGCGGCTCAGGGAGACAGAATCCCCAGCAGACCATTAATTTTCCCTGCCTGCTGGCTTGGCCAGGGTTTTGCTGAAGGCACTGGCAATTAGAAGAAACAGGAGTGTGCTGCCTGTGAGGCCCAGCCGGCCAATATTCACAGATCAATAACTCCACCTGGCTTTTTTGCTCCCTCTAAATCTCACACAAAGGAGTTTATTTAGCAGAAGCAGCTGGCTCTCCTTCATATCTGATGTGCTGATATAACTTAACAGCAGACACAAGGATTGCCACAACAAATTACAGAGTGAAGTTCTCCTCTTTTAATATTCCATGACAGCTCTTGTGTTCTGAGTTGCACGAATCTTTTTGCAATATAAACATTTTATTTCAGGTTGTTAAAATTAAACACATGTATTTAAAACAAATTGGGGAGAAAAACTTGTCAGCATTGTCACGCTGTAATTGCCAATCGTTTTTTCTTTTATACAGCAGTAAGGAGCATGGTAGGAGCACTTATTACAGCAACAGCAGCTCTAACACTACATGTCTTGTTTGCACAGCACTGCGCATATGGTCCTCTGTGAGAAACACAGCGCTGCTCGAGTGCATTGTGTACCTTGCAAACATATTTATCTCACCCATGTGGGCTACATCTGTGGCTGCAGCATGGATAAGCACTATGTTCATTACGTGTGTGACAGAGGACGATTTGCTGAAGAGGAGCAGGCCTGCAGTAGGGACAGAGTGCTGTGCAGGAACAGCCCCGGCCCCGGGCTGCAGCAGACCTGACTGCGCCTTGCTTTGAGGAGTTACTTATCCAATGTAAGCTTTCAACAGTGAACGTGAGTGATTCATATCATTTGATCCAAACTGCTTGCTAAAAAGGGCTATTTCCTGTGATTCCCCAGCCCTCTCAGAACCCCGTGTGCTTTCCCATGAGTTAGTACCAAAGAAAGCACGTGCTTGAACTGCTGAGGTACCAAAGACGCACTGAGGAGCTCGCTGCCTGCTGGCAGCATTGTGCTGTGCTGCCTGGCACTGACTGGCTGGAGCTCAGCACAGAGCCGCCAGGACCACAGCCTGTGCCTCAGCCTCACAGCTCTGCCGTCCAAACGCAGCCGCTCGGAATGCTTCCCTGTGTGAGCACGCGGACGCAGGCCCTACACGCTGCTTAGTTAATTGAGATGTGGAAAACAAAAACTCCTGGAACAGTGTCCATCAGCTTATTGTATAAGGCTCCGATGGTCCAAGCTGCCCGTACACGGCAGAAAGGAGAGCCTGGCTCCCAGGTGGGCTGCATTAGCACGCATACACCGACTTATGAGTGGTGTCCTCCGTGCCCCACAGGTCTGCTTTTCAGGACCGGTTCTGTTTAGTTTGTTGGCTTGCGGGATTTATTTCTTTATTTGTTGCCTGCTACCCTGCTCACGCAGGTTGCCCATCAGCCGCCCTCCACAGCTGGGGAGGGTTCCGAGTACGCAGTTGCATTCAACGCTTAATTAGGAGCGCTAACAGGACGACACGTCCCTGGCGCGGACGGAGCACCTGCAGCCCTGACCCGCGGCCGTTCCCGGGTGCAGAGTGCTCGGTTTCAGCATCGTGTTTTTGTTCCCGTCAGAACTATACGTAAATAACTGCTGCTGCAGCGCGGCTCCCCGCCGTGCCGCCCCCGCCCGGGGGTCTCACACAGGTGGGGCCGCCCCGCGCCCGAGCGGCGCGGCGGGAAGTTGCACATCGAGCTGCAGGCAGCGGCGAGAGCGGGAAACCGGGCGCACGCGACCCCAGCCCGGCACGGCGCTCCCGCGCGCGGCCGTTCGAGCTCCGGCGGCCGTTAAACCGCCGCTCTCCTGACAGAGCCCGCCGGGGCACGGCTCCTCCGGGCGCGCTCCGCCCGCCGGGCGCCGGCACGGGGACTCCCCTCGGCCCGGCTCCGCGCCCTGGACGCGGTGACAGCCCCGGCCCTCGGCGAGCAGCGGCGTCCGCGGCCCCGAGCGGCTCTCCGCGACCGGAGGGGAGGCTGCCGGCCCCGCGGCCGAGCAGCGCCGCGGCCGCCCTCTCCCTGACTGACTCGGTGAAAATCATTGTTTGGCTCCGGCATTAACTACATTCCAGCGGGACGCAGCGCCCAGTCTCCTTCCTCGCATTCCTGCCCTACACAAAGGAGTCCCTGCCTCGCGGAGCCCCGCGCTCCGCTCGCTGCGCCGCGAAGCCCCTCCGGAGCGGCCGCCGCCTTCGCCCCCCGCACGGGGGTGCGGGCCGGGCCGGGGCCCCGCTGCGGGTCGGCCGGCCGGGGGCGGCGGGGGCAGGGAGCCGCCGAGCGCAAATTCCTCCGCGCGGCGCGCCATTGACTGGACCGAGCAACTTATTTAAGGCAGGAAAGTGACACAGGGGCTTCTCGTCTCCGCTCGCCGCCTTCCGCGGGCAGCGCGGCCGCACCGAGGCGAGCGGCGCGGCGTGGGGATGCCGCCGGGGTGTGCGCCTGCCGCAGCCGGGCCGCTGTGCGGGGAGAGAGCCGCGTCCCGCTGATAGCACCGCCGGTGCGCCGCGGGAAGGAACTTCTGGGGTGGTTTTTTGTTTTCATTTTTTTGAATTTTTTTTTTTCTTTGGCTTTAGTTTTTTTTTGTGTGTTTTTTTTTTTTTTTTTTTTTTTCCCTTTTCCTACTGCGGGCAATATTTTCATAGAGAGCTCCCCGACCTACGCCGGGCCGCCGGGCACCGGCCGAGCATGGAGAAGTACGAGGAGAACATGGCACTGAAGGCCACCAAGTTCATGGAGGATCTATCCCTCTACGAACCCTGTCCGGACGCTCCTTACGGCCGTGGCGGCCGCCGGGATCTAACGCTGCACGCCGACCTGGAGGAGACCAAGCGGGTCATCGCCGCCCACATGACGGCGGAGCAGCGGGGCCGGAAGATGAACGGCACCGCCGCGCCGCCGCCGCCCGCCGAAGCCTTCCCCGCCGCCGCCCCCTGCGGCAAAGCCGCCCCGCTCCGCGCCGCCAACGGGCGCCCCGCCGCCGAGCCGCCGTGCTGCGAGGAGGGGCTGTGCACCCGCTCCGAGGTGGCGCTGCCCTGCTACAGCGGCTTCCCCGACAAGGGCAAGCGCTACTCGGCCGAGGGCTACCGCTACGCCGCGGGCAGCGCCTACGAGGGCGGCTACGTGGCCAAGGGCGGCGGGCGGGCTCCCGGCGGCCCGGACGCCAAGTACGGCAACGCCAGCCCCCGGGCCAGCCTGGCCGCCCCGCCGGGCCCGGGCCCCGGCGCCGAGCACGGCAAGTTCTCCAGCCCGCGCTCCAGCCTGGGCGGTGCGGCCGCGCCGCCCTACGAGAAGTTCTCCAGCCCCCGCTCCAGCCTGGTGGTGCCCGGCCAGGAGAAGTACGGCAGCCCCCGCGGCAGCCTGGTGCAGTACGACGGGGCCGCTCTCAGCCCTCGCTCCAGCTACGCCAGCACGGCCAGCGACACCAGCAAGCACTCCAGCCCCCGCGCCAGCCTCACAAGCTACGACGGCGGCAGCAAACCCAGCAGCAACCGCACCAGCGGCATCAGCATGGGCTACGACCAGCGGCACGCCAGCCCCCGCTCCAGCACCGCCAGCCAGTACTCGTGCACCACCAGCCCGCGCTCCAGCTACTCGGACTCTAGGTACGGGCCGCCGGGCGGCGCCGAGCTGGACGGGGCGGCCGCCGCCGGGCTCGCCGTGGCCAGCCCTCGCTCCAGCCTCTGCAGCCCCGAGGGCCGCGGCGGGCCGGGCGCCGCCGTGGTCAGCCCCCGCTCCAGCATCTCCAGCCAGAGCTCGCGGAGCTCCCGCGGCTCCATGAGCGCCTACCCCGAGCTGCAGCTGCCCTCTCCCCGCTCTTCCCTGCTGGGGCCCGGCCAGCAGGAGGACTGCGCCGCGCCCGACCTGGGGGACGTCTACCGCAAGGTCCGTGCCCAGTCTCCGCCGCGGCACGACCCGCAGCACCCGGCGGCCGCCGGGCCCGACGCCGCGCCCCCCTACGCCTACAGCCCCACCAAGGGCTCCGCTTCGGCGCCCAAGTTCAAGCTGCCGTACCAGGTGACGCCGTGCCGGGACAGCGGCCCCAGCCAGGCGGAAAGGCGGCTGGAGGCGCTGACGCTGGAGCTGGAGAAGGAGCTGGAGATGCACATGAAGAAGGAGTACTTCGGTGAGTGACTCGCCGGAGGGGTAGGGTGCAGGGCCCGGGCGGGTTGCCCGGCGGCTCGAGATGGTGAAGGTGTGGGGCCTGCAAGCAGCCGAGGGCTTTGGCATTAGAGAAGGGTGCATGATGCCCAGGGCTGCTCTGGACCAGTTATCTGCTGAAACCTCTGGTTATTGCAGGAGAAAGCCAGCTTGCAGCAAGTACTAACTTTCTTACTGGTGACACCAGTGTGTTTGCACCTTACTTCCCAATTGATGCTTTGTCTCTGTTCTGTGTAGCTTGTCAGGATCTGTGATGCTTTCCCTTACTGGGGCTGGTAGGAGACGTGTCTGAGGCATTATAGAAGCTGTTCGTGCTGTTGGAGTTCACAGTGATTTATGTTTTGTCTTTGTCAGTAAGGCTCAGTGTCCCCGAGGTTGTGGCGTTTGAGATTGTACTTTCAGGTCATGTACTACGTTCTGATGCTTGTGGACAGCTTGACTGTTAAGGCAGTTCTCAGTGTCTCATTCAGTGATGTCCTAGGCCACAGTGCTCCTGGGAGCCCCAGTGTTGTCACAGCCCCTTGTGGCCTCGTGGGGCCCGCACTGTGCTGAATCGGACAGGGGCTGGTGTCACTTGTGGGGTGTGAGAGGGAGGATGGAATAGATCTCCTTGTCTTTGCTGAGGCTGTCAGCCCGTTGGCAATATCCTGAACGTCTTTGTTCTTTATAGAACAGAAGTAACTTCTTTTAACATGAATATGCTTTGTAGTCACACCAAAGTTCAGATAGATCTCCTTTGTCTTTTATTTTGTACTGGGTAGGAAAGGCCAGAATGCCTTTGAAAGATAATCCTGGAGCGTGCAAGTAGTGCCCTGCTCCTCTGAGGCGCTGGGGACTGATGAGCTGGGTGGTAGCTGGGCTGGGCACCCCTGGTGGCGGTTCCCTGCTTACTGTGGGGATGAAGGCTCTGCACGGAGGAGCTTGTGGGAGAGAAGGGACAGCGAGGCAGATGAGGGGCTTAGGGTGAGCCAGCCCCCAGCAGTGGCCCTGTGTGTTGGGGCTGTGGAGTCTGGCCTTCTGAGGCAACCTCTGTGCCTTTCTGCACTGGCTGCATGCAAAGGGAGAGACTTTCTGGCAGTGTGCGATCTGACCGATAAAAGCATCGCTTGGGATAGAGACACATACTACCTTGGTCCTTGACTTAAATGCTGAAGATTCAAGCTGCTTTCAGTGTTAACATTAGCGTGCCCTGAGCAAAAGAGAGGAAGTACAGGACTTCTTGCAGTGCTTGTAGTGAGACAGACCTGGGCTGATCAGATGAGGTAGCTGATCAAGTGGTGCCCTCTCCTGCAAGGAAAACCTTTCAGTGTCAGGCACCTGGTTCAGGGTTCAGATGTGTGAGTATCTGCAGAAGCAGAATTGCGGGGGAAGGTAGTTAACATGCTAAGAAATGTTATCTTCAAAATATCAAGTGTCCAGAGCTGAGAGCTGAAATATGCTTAGGGTAAGAAATATAACTTATTGCTATCCTGACGCTCTGAGAGGTTTCTCCCATGGCCGGAAGAGCTGGGTGTGATCAGGGGCTCCAGGAGCAGCCGCAGGAATGGGTGTTGTGGATAGTTCTTTTTTGTAAGAGCTTACTTGTTGTGTCAGTATTTGCATGTGTAGGAATGTGTTGCAGCAAGCCCTAAGCTCTGGCAGATGTGTCCTGTGTCAGATCAGGAGGGAGTTTGTGCTTTTATGTCTAGGGAACATAAGTGCCAGCTGCCCTGTGTGTATTTGTTGCAGTGGTAGAGAAAAGCACTACTGTGTCTTGCACACTAGAAGCAGATGAAATCCAGAAAACATGGTTACTGTAAAAGAAGGCTGATTTCTAAATCATCAAGGTTTTAACAAGTCCTGGTGGGCCTTGGTCCTGCATGTCTGCTTCACTCATAGGGTGAATGCTGAGCTTTGGGCGAATGAGCATGTGAGGGGCAAGACTGATATGACTGCAGGCAGATATGTCAGAGACAAGGAGAAAGAACCAGCGAGGGAGAAGTCCACTTATTGACAGATCATTTTATAAGTAATCCACTCAGATGTATTGGAGAAGGTCTTAATAAAAGGAGGGCAGCAGAAATGTTTTGATTTGCATTGTAATTCATGCATATTTGTATCTGACACACTCTAAAAGCAATTGCAGAGTGTCCTGTGATACCTACGGAGAAAAGAAATGTTAAGCTGATTGTCTAACAGCAGATGGTTTAATACTCCTTAATTGGATGAGCTCCATTGCCCTATGAGTAAAAGTTCATATGGTGACTGTAATTCTGCTATGTTCTCTGCATTACCTGCACCTCCAGGAAAGGAAACAGTAATCTCTATTTTGTCCATTCAGTATGAGGGCTAATCTATGTGGTACTGCTGTCTTCATGCCACTCTTGTTTTTGTTCACATATGACTTTGAAGATGTGAACAGTGAGTTACTTTGAGGTCAAGTGACTAACTAGTCCTGTTAGGAGGAAGAATACTGTGCATTCGTAGTGCTTGTTGGGTCAGAGTGTTCCACTAGCTATGCTTACACTGGCAGTCTGGCTCCATTTCAGAAGCCCATAGCACACGGCGGATAATAAATGATGAAGCTCCTGTTGCTGCCCCTGATATTTCCCTTTTCTTGAATGAGAAGGGCAAGGCAGCACTTTTAGATCAGGTGTCTGCATGAAGTTAGAACATGGTTGTGTCAGGAGAAGGAACAGAGCCTAGTCCTTTGGTAATGCTGCCCAGACAGTGCTGCCCCACAGAGCTGGTTTTGACCTTGGGGGCTACCTACCACCTAGAGAGGGTGGGGATTACCGTGGAGCCCCGCAGGCACTCAGGGACCTGCTGAAGTGTCTTCATGTGACTGGGGCACATACAGGGGCTGTGCACTAGAGAGGCCTTGGGGGAGCTAGCAGACCCAGCAGGCTGGGGGGCTAGTAGCTACTCTGAGCAGTAATGTGCTGAGAGCTTCTCTTTGCCTTGCTGCTTTCCCTTCTCCATCCTCCCCTTTCTTCCAGCAGACTTCAGTGCATCTGTTCAGTGAAGGAAAAAACAGTTGGTTAATCTGACTGAAAGTGGCAATGCTGCAAAAAGTACCTTGTGCCTGCCCTACTCCTGCTTGCACAGCTGAGAGGTAGCACCTTGCCACTTCCAAGTGCTCCTGCCAGCACACTGCAGCCACATGTGCTCACCGATCATAGAGAAGACAGTGCTTGCAAAAAAGGGAGAAGGGGAAGGTTATTCTGGGGTGGGTCCGTGAACTGCTCTGATTATCCCTTGTCAGTGAGATGGCTGGGTCTGACCAAGAGAGAGGGTGCGGATAGAGGGCACTGGAGGATGAGACTCTCCTTTGGTGGCAGCCTACAGCTGGACAAGACTATGAGCCTTTATGCTCTTGTAGCTGTACCCACTTCCTCTGCAGCCTCTTCCGAAACTTTTTCATCTTTGTCTGCTGACTCCTCCGTATGTCCCCTCTCAAGGCACTAACAGTTCAGGGGCTCAGCTATTTCCAGTGGTGCCTTTAAGTCGTCTCTGTTTTGTCTTGCAGTGTGCCGAAGTGGAGCACTTCTGCTATCAGCTCTGCCCCAAATCAGTTCTTAATTCATGGCTGGAGAAATGGAGTGTCTCCTGAAGTACAGTACAGTCCTTGATGCATGTCTGTTCTGGACAGAGTGCTGCTTTTCTGGCAGGACTGCGAATATATGATGTCAAGTGAAACTGAAGCAGTAAAAGAGGAAGAAATTAAGGAACATACATGGTATCAGCAAGCTTTATTATTAGCTTATTTTGGGGGTTGCGTTCAACAGCCTGAAAAGGTTCAAGTCCTGCCAAGATAGTGGTGCCTGGGGCTGTGGCATGGTATCACTTGGAGATGCTTCCAGGCTGGGAGCAGGTGTCCTGCTAGCTTACTTGGAAGCAGAAATGACCTTCAGCTCTTAACAAAATTAGCAGCTACGTTAATAATCATTTGGTAGATGTTTGGTTTTGGTTGTGTTTTTAAGTGATTTTTCACTATGTAGATTCTGTCTCTGGAAGTGGATCTTGTTCCACATTCTACACTAGTGTGGGTATTTCTGTTTTGATCTGTTATCTCCTTCTGTTAACCTCACCATGTTGTTTTAGCTTACCCTCAATCTAGGCTAGTTTGTGGCTGCACAGTGAGGCAGAGGAGCACAAGGAGGTGGCCAGATGCATTGTATCTCTTCCAACTGGAACATTTCACGTCATCTGAAACTTTTTCTTGCATATCTCTAACATTACACTTATGTATTTCACAAAACTTTTAAGAAAAGGCCTATGACTCGAGGAGGGAGAGTTTAAAAAAAAAAAAAAAAAGTTAAAAACCAACAGCACAGCATAGCCCAAACACTCATTTAATGCTCAGCTGAGAACTACTGCACTTATAAAACATGTAGAGACTTACACTGGGAGGCTGAAAAGGGAGTAAGGATAGCAATATTGCTATTGATGCCTGTTTCCAAATTTGAGATCCTGGAAAAGTTCCTCTGAACAGGTTTTGCACAAAGGCTTGTAGGCAGTTGGGTTTAAACCTCTGCGTTGCTCAGGTTGTAGTGCTGTGCATGCTCTGACAAGTTCAGCTCAGCTGTATTGGCCATCATGGCCATGAGTGCTGGCTCTCTTCACCACTGAGATGGGGGCAGCAATGGCAACTACTGCGTGCTTGAAAGAGTAGGTCTCATGGAGCTTACATGGTTGTTGTAGGAAAGGCTTTTGGCTCCTGTGTGAAATCCTGAGAGAGTGGGCTGTAAGGTGCTGTGTGGCAGTTCTGGCTTGGTTATTTAAGCACACGGCTTAGAGAACTCCAGTGTGTCTGTGTGATGTACACACTGTGTACCCAGCTGTGATGAACTCCTCTTAGGAGAGGATTGTTCCCTAACTCATGGCAAAGTAGAGGTAGCACCTCCAGTCTCTCTCTGCTCTGAGCATGGCTGCTCACCCTGCTGTGATCATGCAGGAGTTGGTCTGGTGCAGGGTCAGCTTGGT